GGGCTTAGAAGTTCAAGGTCATCCCTGGCTCTGCAGCAAGTTTGAGGCCAACACAGAATATCTGAGAGCCTATCTTAAAGCAGAACAGAAAAACAAAACAACAACAACAAAAATAAATAAATAAATAAATAAATAAATAAACAAACAGTGTCATTTCTCCACGATCCCTGCAGTCTACATGGCTTAGTTCTGGCCAATGAACGTAAGCAGTCTTCTAGAACTTTCTTCTAGAAAATCTTCTAGAACTTTCTGTGCTCGTGTTGCCTTGCTGACACAGCAGCAGCACTTTCTCCCTCCATGTGCCTGTTTCTTCCCGTTGCCTGGAACGATGCGGTAAGGGCTGGGGCTGAAGCTCCACTCTGCCGCTAAGCAGGACAGGGCTGAAGAACCAAGCTTGCATGCTTCTGTTCCTTCCTAACTCAAATGGAGCTGCTGTTACGTATGGATGCAGGAGAGTCAGACTGCTTCCACGAAGGTAGACACATTGTGTGCTGCACACAACCAGGCCAAAACCCAAGCGTGGTATTTGGTGACACTTGCTGTGTACCTGGTCATGGATGCCGCGCTGAGCTGTTTCCTGAGCACATACAGAGACAGCACAGCAGGCCCAGCAGGCAGTTCTAGCTCTGGGTGTCTTGAGCCAGCATATTCAGTAACTGTGAATGTTAATGTGTCTGAGGAAAGTTGTAACACCCTCAGGGTCCACGCAGGTCCCAACAGGAGAATGGCATGCACTCAATTTTCCAGAAAAACATGTTTCCTCAGCAAGAATTTCTTTCCTCTGAATACAGCTAGTAGCTGGCTACCACAACCGGGCTGTTGTAGAGACGATGGAAGACGGAGCCAGGGGGCCATGAGCTCTGAGCTAATCCCCAGGAACTGGACATCTACCTCTTGCCCCAGGCCTCGTGGACCCTGTGTGCATCTATCACCACGTGTACTGGAGTGAGTGAGGTCCAAGCCAGGGCGGAATATGCTAGGGCTGGGGTGGACAGGTAGGCAGGCAGCTCAGCCCCTGGTTGCTTTGTCTTCCCTCTCAACCATGCTCTCAGTGGAGTCTCTTAGACTGTTTAAGGAGGGAAATCCCATGTGATTGACAGGCAGAGTGTCAGGAAAGGTGACACCCAGCAGTGAAGCCCCTCAGGGCAAGGGCAGTGGAAAGGGATGTCTTTCCAGTCTTCGTGGTGGGGAGAAAGCTGTGCACAGCTGCTTTGTACGCTGCCTGGAAGGAGAGGTGGCCAGAGAGACTGTTTCCCATTGATCATGGCCTGTGGTTAACCATGGGGTCAGGGGTCAGGGAGGTGGAAGGGCCATGGTCGGAGAGGGACCCATTTGGGGAATGAATCCTTTCTAAATGCTCTTGAGAGGGTGCCAGGGCTTGGCAGGTGCCTGGCAGCCTAGGAGCCAGGTGGCCTCTCCTCTCCGCTGCAGCACCTGCCCATAAACAAAGTACCACTTATCCCATTGGACTTACATTACTCAGCATTCAAGAGAAGAGCCTCCTCTTCCCCGCTGCCCTGGCTGCGCTGGTGTCATGTGCCCAGTAAACCAGCAGGTGGCAGCCAAGCTCAGCTGCAGCTAGCGATTGTAGCCAAGCACCACTGGAGCCTGGCTGCAGACCCCTCAGCGCTCCCGTTACAGCCCTTACTACACACAGATACATCACTGTCATTGACCAAGGGTTTTGTTTCTTGTTCTACCATCCTCTCCCCACTGCCAGCACAGCTGGCACAGTAGAGGTGCCAGCTAACGACCAGAAATGGTTAGAAGCAGCTACCAGATTTAGACACGGTGGTACACAGGACATGGTACTAAACACGAGCGACCTCTCTGTCCAGAAGGTGGCCCAGGGACCAGGTGAAGCCAGGAGGTGGTCCTTCAGTCACCCTACCCCCTCAGTGCTTCCCCTGTCTTCCTGCTTTGGGTTCCAGGGGAGAGAGTTTAGATTCTGAAGGAAGAAGCCCCAAGAGGAGATACCCTTGGGACTTGCCCCAGAGGCTGAGATGGTACCTGGCTCCTCTGGGCTCCTCTTCTCAGATAAAGAGGATGGGCCAGGTACTCAGAGTAGCAAGAGGACAGTGTCTCAGCTCAGCAGCTTCTCTGGGAATCCTAATACCACTCATCGACGGGGATCACTCCCACGGCAGGACCACAAACGGTGTAGTCTTCTGAGGAGTGAAGTCTTGGTTTGCTTGATTGAGAACTTGGGGACTCTGGAGTGGATCAAAGATGTTCTCTCTGCTCAAGCGCTGGGAGTGCAACTGTCCTCTCTTGAGTCTGAACTGATCCTGTGACTTGCATGGCCGATGAGCCTGTGGGCCTACACTTCAGGGGAGGGGGAGGGGCAGGAGCACATCCTCGGTTCCATGAATGGCTGTGCGTTACTCAGCATGGGTGGCATTTCCCACGGTGGCAGCCGGACCTGAGCCTTATCCTGCACTGGTTCCCTGCTCCTTTAGAGTTGCTGTGACCTTCCCCGGACCCGGGGGGGGGGGGGGAGCTCTACCTTCTGTTTCACTCAGTTGCCAGGACCCCAGGCCATTCTGGGAAGGAGTTCATTCTAAGTCAGGTCATTGAAGAAACCCAAATCTCCCAGGCCTCCCAGGGAGGCAGACTTGAGAAGCAGGTCTGTCCAGTTGGTGGCATCAGCTACACCTGAAACCATGCCTGGGAAGGCATTCTGCCAGGAAGGGCCACCCACAGAGCAGGCCGGAGTCACAGTTCTGGCACACCACATGGAGGAGATGTCCCCAGGGTCCTGGGCTGAGAATAAGTGCTTTTGGGTGGGAAGGTCAAGCTTCCTGCCCTACCCCACCCTCTGGGCCCATGCATCTTAGAGACCACTGCCGCTGTCCCCTTGGGTAGTGCCTCTCAGGGCACAGCCACAACTGGACCAGCCCCTTCACCACCACTTGGGCGGCCCTGAGTCCTGCCCCATTCTGTATTTAGGTCCCAGCTCACTCAAGTCTCAGGGGCACTGTGCTGAGCCTTGACCTCTGCTCCCAGCCATCCCGGATAGGTTTTTCTGAGCCTACTGCTGAATGGAAAATAACCAGCAGCAAGGGCAGCGGCGTCTGGGGCGCTGGGCCGCCACAGGCATGCAGTGCTCAGGATACCGTGGCAGGCCTCTCTGGACATGTGACAAAGATGCCCTGAATGCGCCTTATTGTTCTATGCACCCGGACTGGAGAAGCCAACTCATCGACCAGAGCATGGCATTTCACATGCGCAGAAAACCTCCCGTGTGTCACACCGGTGGCATCCTCTCTAAGGGGTGCAGATGGATGTTTAGACTGAGTAACTGAGGCTGAAAAACTCACCCAAGGGAGTCAGGGTATATGGGGGTTCCACACCTCAGTCTGTGGTATCCCTGCCCCAATTGCTGGAGAACCCGATGAGCCGTTTGTCTCTTTTAGTGCCCATGAACTCCTAAATAAGATGAAGCAAGAGGCCGACGGCAGCGCCGGCTTCATACGGCTTGCTTCCCGTCAGTTGTATCTCCTCTCGGTGCCTGGCAACTTCCGATAAACATGTCTGTCCATGCAAACACAGACCGGGCTGCACTAGTCCACGCTAGCCTGGCTCTACCCTCTACTGTGTACCTCTTAAAGGAGTAATTGGGAAAAGGCCCTGCCCTTTAAGAAGCTACCCAGAATGGGGCAGGGCCCTTGGTGTGGCCGATGCCATCCTGTGGTGACCGTGACACACCCTGTTTGTTTTCTAACTCTCCACCATTGCCAGCTCAGGTGTGCAGCCCCATCCAGAACCACTGCCTGGTAGATAGGGCCTGCGGGTCAGAGTGGGCATCGTGAGGAAAAACAGAGGGCTTCAGCAAGCCCATGATGCTAGCTGTCATTCAGGGTGACAGGTGCCAAGGGGCACTCTGAGTTTGAAGGGGCTGTCCCCCTTCAAATGTGAGCCATTGAGGGTAGAGCTGAGTCCCTTGGACACACTCAGAGGTCACACAGGGGTGCCACAGCTCCTTTTGCTCTTGGTGCCCACCGCGGTGGACAGTGGGAAATATTTCACCCCAGTGCAGATCACACATCACTGTGAGGGTAGGACTAAATATGTTCTGCTGCCTGCAGGATCACAGAACAGCTGGGGAGGGGGGCATGAATTTTCCCCAAACGTTCTAGCGCTTCTGTGGGAAAGGCTCAGAGACAATGCCAGCTACGAGCGGCAGAGCAGCCCGCCAAAGCCAGGCTTTCTGTGGAATGGAATAGAGCAACGAACAACTTGGGGTGGGCTTTGCAGATAAAGACGGGGTCCCCGGATGCTGCAGCCTTGTCTCCTCATGCGCATGCATGCACAGGCCACTGTGCCTGTCACCTCTCTTCTGCTCATGAGCACCCTCCCACCTGGGACACCAGGAACACTCCCTGTGCCCATTGTCCAACAACAGACCGAGGCTCCCTGGAACTCACACAGCAAGAAAACTGATTCGTTTAACACGTAAAGCAGGTCTCCTGGCCGAGCACACACCCTCTGCCATTGAAAACATGCGCGCTGTCAACACCATCTCCGCACCGTGAGTGCCCCAGATCCCCAGCCTCCGTCTCTAGGTGCATGGGGCAAGAAGCGGGAGCACCTAGATTAAGGTGTTTTATGCCTTCGCTCTGTGGGTGGGTCCAGAGCCCTTTTCTATGGAGAACTTAGAAAGGGTGTGTGGCATGTTCAAGGCAGCGCCAGGGGAGTGCTGGGTGAGGCAGAGCCCGGCTTCCCAGCCTCCAGCCGCCTCGATATCCCTGTCCCACCTGTGTGTGACCCCACTCCTCTGTCCCCGGGGGCCACAGTCCTGCACCACACTCATGTACTAGAGCTCAGTTCTGTGCGGCACAAGGCATCTGTGGGAAGAGGATATGAACAAAGAGAGACGCAATTTCTCAGCAGAGGTGGAGGAAATATGGTCCAGAGAAGTGGCCTCTGTGGCCTCAGGACGGACAGGGCTCAGAGCGATCTATACCCTCGCTCTCTGGACCCAGTCACTCTTGTCCTACCTGAGCCTTGCGGGGCAGCACTGGACAGGATCCACTTGATCAAGCAGCAGCGCATCAGGGCCTGGCGGGTGAACCTTGGCCTCTGCCACTTGAGGCCTTCCTTTCTGTTCAGCGGTCCGCGCCCAGGGTCTCCTAGGAGGCTGCCATCTGACGCCTTCATTGCTTCCTGCTGCGAGGGAATAGACATAGAGGACGTTAAAACGGGCTCACGGAGGGAACTTCCAGAAGGTCCTGTAGCCACTCTGATATCCCGAGTGAGGCCAGTCCTAACCATCTCTGGAGAGAGAGAGAGAGAGAGAGAGAGAGAGAGAGAGAGAGAGAAAGGAGGAGGGGGGAGGGAGAGAGGGGGGGAGGGAGAAAGGGAGGGAGGGAGAGAGAGAGAACCCTCTGCTGCCCTGCCATCCCTCCATGCTTTTCTTTCTATTCTACACTCAGGCTCTGTCATAGGGTGGGTCCCTAGAAGAAGGTTCCAGAGAAGTGAGCCCAGACTTGTTCATCTGAAGCTGGCCCCTCCACAAGCCAGGCTGCCAGAGCTGAAGGATTTTTTCAAGAACTGACTGAGGCCTGGAGAAGAGAGAGGCGTCACACAGGGGACACCGTGAGGTAGGGGCCTTGCTTGGCCTGAGTTCTCACCTGGAAGTGAGCTGAGGGGAGATGAAGTCTGTGTGAACACCTGGGCAGAACCCCCACCAAACTTGATGACCTATCATGCCCGTGGCTGTGTGGCCAGTCAGTTAGGGGGAGCTGGGGGTTAAGAGACAGTAAATCAGAAAAGGTCAGCCTGGAGCCATTGTGGAGGATTCAGAGCACAGGGATTTGTTTGCCTATAGCAATCCTGCCCTTCAGTCCCGGCTATCAAATTGTCTGCCATCATCAGTCCATAGGGGTGGCAGCGTAGCTCCTGGTTGGGCAGGTGGCAGTCAGTCACGATGGCCCCTCTGGGTATTGGTTTGCTTCGTCTATGCCCAGTCTCACCCTAGCACAGCAACGGGACAGGTATGGTCCTGGCTCACAGTCATCATTACCCATCACACCTGAAGGAACAGCCCTTCACTCCTCCCCCTTCCCAAGGCTCACTTGCAGTCAGGAGCATTGCTGTGGAGGGAGGGGGGTTGCCAGTGATGGGGACAGAGGCGTCTCCCTGTACGGAAGGTGTTTACACACTTGCATGTTCAAACCCACGTACATGTACTTACACATGCATCCACAGACCTACACACAGGCACATGCTCACACACACCATGCCCTGGCTGGATCTGAGGCGCCTTCTACATTATTAAACACCTCATTCAGGAGAGAAATGGCCTCGATGAATAAAATCTGTGTGTTGGTCAAGGAGGGGGGCAGGGTCGGCCGGGCAGGCTGTTTCATTATCGCATGAATTCACTGCTAAAGACTCTGCTTGTGGGGAGGGGAGGAGAAACCGGGAGCATCATGCCCCACCCCCACTGACCCCCTACTCCCACCTGAAGAGCTGGCACGGCAGATTTTTGTCTCAAATCCTAGATGGGTGTGGTGGACCCTGTGATTTCTCCTACAGTGCCCGTTGGTCTGAGCTCAAGTCACCTTGTTGTCACAGCCCGGTGAGGTGGGCCACACCACACTTTTACAGCCAAGAAAACTAACCCATGAGGAGTCTGGGGACACACCTCTCTGTAACATGGCATTGGGACTCCAAAGTTTGGGTAATGTTGGCCACAGGCTTCCAAAGTAATTGTTCATGGGACTAGGTCCCTAGAGAGATTTCAGAAGGTGGGGGTTGGGGCCTCCCCAAGCTCCCTAACCAGATCAACAGTCTCCAAAAGCAACTGTTATTGAATGCCCTGGGATAGCGGGTCCTGGAGCTAGTTTTCTCCCTGGTAGAGAGTCAGAGTGAAGTCTGGACACCTGAACTGGCTTCCTCTATGTGTATGGGTTGCCAGAAATCTCTCTTTGAGCCTCTCTGGACAAAGGTTGTGACAGAAATCTGGGAAAAGAAGGGCAAAGGGAAGGGAGGCAGCCTGTCCATATCCGCCCCGTGAGAGGCATCAAGCCTATGGCCGGGGCCAGCACACTGTGAGGGAGGCAGGAACAGGGAGGTGTGAGCACGGGTCATCCTCATGAATATTTGACACTTGTCTGTCTGGGAGAGGGTCTGATTGAGCTGCCAAGGGATGTTAAATAGCTCTTCTGACACCCTCTTTTTGTCTCCTAGGCTCAAAGGCATGGAGGGGAGGGAGGAGACCCCACTGCCCCCTTATGGTTTCTGTGAGGGGAGGTGACAGAGTGAGGGCTGCTGGGTCAGTGAGGACAGTGGAACCGAAATTAAATATCCCTTTGCCCCTGCTTGGAGTCCCTGAAGGCTGCCTGTCACTTGGCAAATCAAACCATGTCACATGCCTGCCCTCAGCTCACTGCTCCTCACAGACGGCCTCTCTCCACAGCACTGCCTGGGTATCTGCTGCTCCCTGCCCTGGACACTTGTCTGCTGGATGCTCAAGGCCACGCTCAGGTGTCAGCCCCCTGGAGCACTGTTCTAACTAGGTCACTCCCATGTGCCTCCATCTCAGTCTCTGTTACTGCACCTCCTTGCTGCAAAAGAATATATATGGAATATGGAATATATATGGAAAATAGCTTATTATTCTGCTGTCTCAGGTCCCTCCAGAAGGGCAGCTCTGAGACTCGTGTGTGTGTATGTATGTATGTATGTATGTGTGCACACACTTCTATGTGTACCTGTGTAAACTGCTCTTTCTGTCACAGAGCCTGGTATCTGACAGCCTCTTACTTCATAAACTTCACAGTAAAAGGACAATCTATCCAGAAGAAACATGCACAGACGTGTCACCAGCAGGCACAGAGATGGCACATGAGCACCTGGGAAAATGCCATCTTCTGCCACCAGGGAAATGCACATTGAAAACCACCAGGAGAGCCAACAACATGGCTCGGTGGCTAAAGCACCTACAGCACAAGGCTGATGACCCAAGTTCGATTCCCACAACCCACACCAAGGTGGAAGGAGAGGACAGACTCCACAGAATTTTCCTCCGACACCAATCTACACACACACACACACAGGAATGTGCACGCTCAAAAATAAACACATTTTTTTAAAAAAAATCATCATGAGAAACACTTCATGCCTGAAATAAAAAAAAAATAGCCAAAACAGTAAATGCAATGCAGACCTGGGTCACAGCTGCCTGGCCACTGGGGACACAGAGTGCTTCAGCAACTCTGGAGGAAAGGTTGGAGGTCCTCAGAATGGTAATTGCATGCTTGGGTGTTTGTCCCAGGTGGTTGAAAATTTATGTTCAAACAAACCCTTATAATTGAATATTCATGGTAGTTTTATTCATAAGAACCCCAAACTGGAAACAGCCAGATGTCCCTCAGTAGACACCAAGGTGGTACAGCTGTCCCAGAAAGTCCAAACCATGAGAAGAGAGGAGCTGGACCCATCACAACTGGGATCAAGACTCAGAATTAAGCGGAACCAAAAAGCCAGTCCTGAAAGGTCACCTGCCACGTGAGCCTGTTTACACAGCATTTTGAAATGACAGCATGTTAGCAAGGGAGGGCAGATTAAAAGGCCAAGGATTGGATGGGGGGAAGGGCAGAGGGAGGAGAAAGTGTGGTTACCGTAGGGTAAACCAGAAGGACCTCTGGGGACAGAGCTACCTCGTCACATGTGTCGTGTGCTGATGGTAGTGACGGATGCACGAACTGCAGGTGATAAGGTTCTAACAGCCACACACATACTGGGGCAACTTGAATGACATTGGTGGCTGCATCAGTGTCTCTAGCATGGGTGGGATATTGTACCAGCTGGGTTTTTTTTTTTTAAATAGGATCTTACTATTTAGACCTGGCTAGCCCCAAATTCACAGATTCACCTGCTTCTACCTCTTGAGTGCTGGGATTAAAGGCCTGCACTGTACATCCCGCTTGTACTAGTTGTTTGTTTGTTTGTTTGAGTCAGGTTGCCATATATCCCAGGCTGGCAAAGTGGACGTGGGGTCTATCTATGTTCTTTTTCACCATACTTAATTCAGTAAAAGTCTCCTTTGGAGCTGATGAGACGGCTGAGTGAGTGGAAGCACCTGGGGACTTGATAAAGAAAAGAACTGACTTTTTTTTCTTCTTTTTCTTTTCTCTTTTTAAAAATTTTTTATGTTTTGGGTTTTTTGAGACAGGGTTTCTCTGTAGCTTTGGAGCCTGTCTTGGAACTAGCTCTTGTAGACCAGGCTGGCCTCGAACTCACAGAGATCTTCCTGCCTCTGCCTCCCGAGTGCTGGGATTAAAGGCATACGCCACCACCGCCCGATTAAGAACTGACTCCTGAAAATTATCCTCTGATCTGTATCCCTGTGCATGTGGGATGGAGTGGAGAGGCTAATGCCAGATGCTTAGGATGTGCTGAGGTGTGGGCCGGGATGCTGGTGTCAGAATCAGAAGCCTGTTCCCATGGAGACATAGGCCTCTGTCTATCCTGACGGTGGTCCATCTAGGCACTAGATACTGTTGTCCCAAGAGTTTTCACCAAATCAGCCCCTTGATTCCAACATCTTACCACGTGATTCCCCACCCTACATAGGCTCCCCGAAAGCCATGATGCCCGTGGTACAGTTGTCCTGCACACTGCTCATGACCTGCAAGAAACACCCCCTGTGAGAGTCTGTCTGGCAAGAAGATGGAGCCAGACTATTGGGGTACCCAGAGGTGAGAATCTTGGCAGCTAGTGTAGTCCCTGGCCGCAGAGAACCCCAAGTATCAACCCTAGGAAAGATTGGTAGAGGCATTTAGTGGGTATATGCTACCCAAATGCTGTATAGCTAAAGGCTAACATACTTCTATCAAAATATCTAGCAATTCTCCAGAGACATATCAGGCAAATATGTGCATTCTAAGTGCATTGATATACACACTCATAAACACACACACACACACACACACACACACACACACACACACCACAAAAGAAGACGAGCACACTGCCTCATGGATGGAAATAGCAGTAAAAACTTTTTCTAAAAGCGACCAGGACACACTGGATACTGGTGCAGAGGCTGCACCTTGCTTTGGGCAGGTGGGGGGATCTGCGACAGGCTGGAGTTATTTCAGGCAGCTGAGTGCAGAGAGAAGAGGCCCATAACCAGTCAGCCAGAGATTTGAATGCTGGGCCCTCATGTTCTCGCTGGGCAATCCTGGACCAGGTACTTGACTACCCCAAGCCCTGGTTTCTTCATCTGCAGATAGGGATCATAGAATGCCCTCCCAGAGGTACAGGGAACACAGGTGAAGCAATGCATGCCAACGAGCCCCCTACCCACCACGGCGATTATCTTTCTGGGCCCAAGTTAGGGGTTGTATTGCCCGTGCAAGGCAGCAAAAGCAATCCCCAAACTCCAAACTCAGGAACCTTGTGCTTGGAGATCTAAGGGGGCCAGGAGGGGTCTGCTACCTGGGGACCACATTGCCTGCCTGCTCATTTTTATTAAAAACAAAACAACCAAAACTCCAAAACCTCTACTCTGTAGAATTAGAAGTGCCGCTAATGGTTGGAGCACTTACCTCACCTGACAGAAATTCCTGGGCCTTGACAGGGGATGGGTGCTCCAGGTTCTCACCCCCTTCCTGTCCAGGAAGACTGTCCTAAGGCCAGGGTCTGAGACAGATGTGGGGCTAGCCTGCACCCCTCCTTTTCCAGGGACTGCCTAGATGCACGCTGGCTCATCCAGCACCCATTAGTTGTTCGCTCTATTTCCGTCAAACGGGACAGATGGCAGAAAGTGCTGGTGGGTGTTGTGTCGTGCAGGCCCCCAGGGACTGGGAATCTTTGCCATCCTAAGTCCGCCACCCACTCTGACACACACAGATGTGAGCCAGGTAGTTCATCCTGGCAGGAGAAGCTGAGACAGTCACATGTCCCTGTGGGTGGGAGCACGTACTGGGATGTACATACCCGCACATGTGACTATGCACATGTCTCTGGGCTTCAGACTCGGGTGTTGCAGCAGCAGAGGAGGCCGGAACTGGACAGTCCCAGTCTTGTGTCTGGTGCCTGCTAACTTGCCAGGACAAGCGCTCCCCTATCCCTGGCAATGAGGACCCTCCACAACTCAGGTTGACTTAAGCTGTTCATTAGTAACCCTCTCTGTCAGGATGCCTTCTTAGGTTATACTCTAGCAACCAGATATATAAGGTTCAGGCTAAATGTGCTAGTGAAGGATTTTATCCTTCGAGGAGGTTGGTGATATGAGACCATGGCACTGAGGGGCAAAGTAACATGTCTGTGTTCACATCGTTGAGATATGAAGGAGCTCGTGCTTGTCCCAGCCCCATCTGATGCAGAGGCGGGGCTCCCAGACCACAGGGGCAGCCCGAGCCCTCACCAGCCACTTCCTCTGCAGTCAGGACTCTCTAGTCCCAAATAGTGAGGATAGGAGCTGGTGGGCTTGCCACTTTTCTGTATACTTATGGGGCATTGGTGACAGCTGCGGGATGGTATTCCCAGTTGCCCATAGGACAACACAAGGGCCTGAGTCCATCTGGGGTCCAGGGAGAGGTTATGGGCATATCCTAATCCCAGCAGGAAGTTAGAAGCCCAGAGAAAGGCAAGTTTGCTTCAGCGGCATGGGGGCAGAGCCCTATCTAGAACCGAGCTGCCTGGGACCACTGCCCAGAGAGCCTGTCCAGAGAGAGGCTTTTACCGTAAGGCCTGACATGGGCATGGCACCAGGGAAAAGGAGCTCCTATTTGTCCCAGAAGTCACCTATATGCTAAAGGCAGCAGAAGACAGCGGTGACGGAGCTGGGGATGATGCCCTTAGCCTAGTGTCTCTGCTTTGTCTCACAGAGTAGGAGTGGGGCGCAAGCCCAACGGAAGGGGCAGCTGGACAGAGTGCTGACACAGGACAGGGAGAGCTGAGGGACAGGCCTCTCTTGGCTGTCCTCCTGCCCTGACAGCTCCCCCAGCTCCAGCTCTGGCACTGTCACATGACTGCTCTGTGGAGTTCTAGGATGTGGGCTGATTGCAGCTGACAGATGCACCTGTTCAAGGGGGAAAACATCAGTCAGCTGGGGCCGGGAGCTGGGGGAGCATTGTGAGTCACCCACACTGTGCATGCTTCCCGACAGGGCAGGGCTGGCCGAGGCAGAAACTCTCCTCCTCCTTCTCTGCCTTGAAAACCCTCATGGAGGCCTTATGGGAGAGCCTGCAACTGCTCCTGAGAATCCCAGTGAGACCCAGAGGGTCAAGGGAGCAGAGGGTGCCCCTAAGGCCAGCCTGAGCAAACCAAACAGCTCTCAACTTTTGTGGAAGATGAGGATGAGAAACTGGGGACTGGACTGAGGTGAGCTAAGTTGCTAGAATGCTTTGCCTGGTGTGTATGAAGCCCTGGGTTTGAGCCTTGGCACGAACTGGTATGGTGGGGCACATCTGTAATTCCACTGCTCAGAACCTAGAGGTCGGGGACCAGAAGTTCAAGTGCATTCTCTGGCACAAAGCAAAGCCTGCTTGGGTTATAAGAAACAGAAAAGAAAAGAGGAGCGGAGAAGTAGGGGTTCTTTCACTCACACGTCTAGAGCCACAGCCCTGAGAGGAGAAGCAGGGGCTAATGCAGGCAGGGGCTGTGGCTGAGGCAGAGTCCCACTTGTGTCACTGAGAAGCAGGCTGAAGGTACAAACAGGTCACAAACTCTAGACTCAGCCCTCATTGGTTGCCTGGATAAAAGGGCGCTCCTCTCCCCTGGAGTCTGCTCCTACCGTTCCCTGCCTCCCACCCCCACCCAGTGCTTGGGGTCTGTGCCCTGGAGGACAAGACAGAGTTCAAATCCAGTTCCAACACCACTGGCAGCCTAGGATCCACCTCCTTTCCTCACCCGCAGAGGAAGAACGACAATGACACCAAGAACTACGTCGTGGGCTACATGGGGACATTGGCTTAGAGGGAAGGGCGGTCCTTCAGGGCCACCTCCATCTCTACCCTGTCTAGGTACTCAGTTATTGTCTTTTTGAACAGAACGGATTAAGGTCCATCTTGTAAGATGCTGGAGAGGCTCCCAGGGCCAAACTGGTCCATGAGGACACCTTGTCACCTCAGAATCTGGATGCTGTTGGCTCACTCCTCCTGACAAAGGGTTTGGCTCAGGAGACCTGCCACTGTGGTCAGTGCCCACTCCAAGCTTTGGCAGCATGAAGAATGAAGACAATTAGTGCCCATTCTGCAGGGTCAAGTGGGGGAGGCAATAAAGAGATGGCTGGGGTGTATGGGGAGAAGTCAAGGGAGAACTTGGGGGGGGGCAGCTATTGGCTTTTGCAAGTGGGACCAACTCCCAGCCTATGCTGGTTGGTGTGCTTTCTGCTGCTAGGGACAAAGCTTGTCTCATAATCACCTGCTGGTATGGTACAGTGTGGCCTTCACCCAGTACCACCATCTCTGTGGACCAGGTTACACATAGGATTCCAGGGGCAGGCATAAGATGATGAACTACATGGGTGCCCAATTCTGGTCATGGTAGAGGTCATAACGGCCAAGAGAATGGCCAAATGGACTCTGGTCACTCACTCTGCCACTTAGTAGTGTTAGTGGTAGTTAAGGTCCTAAGGAGACTTCTGGAAATTAGAACCACCAGAGAGGAACAAGGAAAGGGGGCTGTCCCTTGCTGGCAGAAAGAGCCAGCTGTGTGCACATCTATGCACACATGGCTGTAGAAATCCCTGTGTCTGTGGTTACACAGAGTCACATTGCCTGACTCTGGAGGTGGAGCAGGGGTGGTCATCAGGTTTATGTGACTGTGCTTACATGACCGTGAGGTCCATGCTCACACGGATGCTTGTGGGTGTACACAGCCCATGCTGCATGCAGTGTGCATGTGAGTCTGGGACAGAGGGCTGCCAATGCTTCTTCCCTGTCAGTCCAGAGGTTGCGAGGGACACTTGTGCCTTTCCAGGAGCCCTGCTCTGGTACTCAAAAGGATTTGTTCTATCTGCTCATTCTTTTGAGTCTTTTTGGGCAATGGACCAAACAGAGCAGGGATAGTATCCTTGACTCTGGGGCAGTATGGCCTGAAACCAGTCCACACCCCTCCCTGGGCTGCTTGTCTTCATGGGGAATGGACAGGGAGTGGGGACAGAAAGTCATCTCTTGGGGGGGAGAGACTGCCAGATACCAGTCCAATGTCTATTCTTTTTATAAGACCTTGATTTCCTTATTTGGGATGTTCAACTGGACCTGGATCTGGTCCTTCCTCCTTCTGAGCAAGACCATCCTGGAAATTTGGGCAGCATGCTGGGCTCCAGGCCAGACTCTCTGAGGGTCAACGCTAAGTTGGGGCACAGCTGAGTTTTCTTGGCTCCATCCTTCCCCTCACCTCACAACTGTTTCATGAACTCTGCCTCTTTGCCTCCCCTCTCTTGCCATCTTCTGACAGCCCCATGGAGGTGGATGGAGCTGCTTGTGCCCTTATTAGGGGACCTCATGTTGCCTTAAGAAGAAGGGGGGTCTTCATTAACTGAAGGATTACTTGAAAACTGTGCTCATTGGCTAGCACCCACGCACAAGACCCCTCGTGTCTCTGTGCTCCCCTGTCTCACTAAGGACAATGAGGCTAGGTTCAGGGTCAGCTACCCTGGTCTCTGCTCCGGAGACCTAACTGAACAGAACCAGCCACGGAACTAACCTCAAGCTTCTTCCTCTTCTGTCCAAATCACCCAGAGCTTCTTATATCCGAAAGAGCCCTAGAGTTCCAGCCTTCCAGATAGGGTGCCCCCAGCAATTGCTTCCCCTTACCGGGTCAACAGGCATAGTGGGTTTAGGAACACCCGTGAAGACACTCCCCAGTCAAGAGCAACACCCAAGCCCCAGATTTCCCCAAGTCCAGGCAAGCCACCAGCCCATCAGCACCTACCTTGGTCCTCTGCATCTCCGCAGCTGAAGGGGACTGTCACCAGCCTTTCCGCTTTGCAGCCTGAACAAGCCAGACTGCCTGGTCGGGCTGGCAGCTGCCTCATGTTTGCTAGGACCCAGACGCAATTGTCACTGGAGGTTTCTCCCCCGCCCCCTGCCCACTCCTTCCATTCTCCCTCCCTCCCGGGTCTTAGCTCCACCTCTCCTCTGCCTCTTCCCTCCTCCCTCTGCTCTCCCCTTTCTTCCTTCCTCCCCCCTTTCTCTCCACCCCCCAGTTTCTCTTTCTCCAGGGCTCCTAAACCTGGTCCCTCAGCCTCTCGGTGCCCCTGGCTCTCATCCCCCACCCCCATACGTGGTCCGTTCCCTCCCTTCCTAGTCACAGGGAAAGCAGGGAGGCCACCCCAACACCAGTCCCTGCCCAGAACAAAGAGGGGAGCCCTTGGGATTACATCACTGAAGTGACTCCTGGGGTTCTTCCACCTCTACTGATCTGCGTCGTTAGTCACCTCTGTGTAACCCCTCACAGGCCTTGCAATATGGAAACCTTCCTAGCTGGAGCAAGCACTTCACATTTCCCCAGTTTCAGGGATTCTGGGCAGTCACGGGATCTCCCCCCAGATCTCTAGGAGTAGGATCTGGGGATGGAAGAAGGAATCAGGGGTCCCAAGCATCCCCAGGAAGGCTCCTTCCTGCACTATAGGAGATGAGCTTTTGGGCATTTTCTCATCTTTCAGAGAACCCACCAGGAGCCAGGTGCCGAAACCTGCGCCAAGTTTCCCTTTTTGGCGCCCTGAGGA